CTGCTCTAATTAAGCACTTCAAAGCACCCAAAGCAGCTCATGTATCAGTGTCCCTGCACGTCAAGATGGCAATTGGAGTGCTTTATCTAAATCTCATTGAACAAACTTTACATAATGTGCCTCCACTGCCATTTTGAAGTACAGGGATGCTGATACATGAGACATGGAGGCTGCTGAAGTGTGATAATTACCATGCTCCACCAGACTTGATTAATAAAGTTTGCTCTGATGTGTTGTAATTACAGCACATCAGAGTAGCCTCCTAGCTCATGTACAGACAGCTAAAGTGCTGTCTATGAAGTTTTATCCTCATATTTCATTGGTTGTCGTCATTGCTTTGAAAACAAAATGATAAACTTTCCCCTGGGTTTTTTTTTCTCCTTAGTGCAATATCTGAGTTTTCCACAGTCTTCACAATACCCTGGGGATGGTATCAGCCCCATTTTATTGTGAGTGCTAAAGACTGAGATAAAAGGTCTAAAGTAGTGGTTTTCAACCTTTTTTCATTTGAGAACTCCTAAAAATTTAGAACTGAGTTGCGGACCCCTTTGAATTGTAAGTGTGGGTATTCACATAGTTTTGATTGATCATAGGAATCTTTTGGGGACCATTTATCTTAGACATAGGTTGAAAACCACTGGTCTAAAGTGTTACTAATTTTGGGTGTCCAATTTAAGGTGCCTAGGACCTGATTCATCAGAGTACTCAGCATCAGACTACTTTATGTTGAAAGCTTCTGTTCAACCTCTGCTGCTGTTGTGAATGCTCAGCACCCCTGCAAATCACATCTCTGAGTCTCAAGATAGGAAACAAGAAAGCACATAGGTAACAACTACTTCTGAGAAGTCTGCCTAAATGAATGCCAGTCACATAAGAACTCTGAGGCAGAAGCAGAGGGAGAATGTAAATATCTAAGCCAGTATTCAACTAGTTTTATCAAGGGACTATCCATTCTTTTCCCACAACCCTTTATCTCATGCACGTGCCACTCTGCAGCTTCTGCAGTATATGAAGAAGAGGTCCTAGAGACAATAACTTAACTATGTAACCCTACTCTTTTGCAGAGCAGATGCATCCCAGGCAGTGAATAAGGCAGGAATTCCAGGAAGGAAAAAGATCTGTATGTTACATTTCAATTACATGATCCAAAAACCTTGAAGGGAGGAACTTCAGGTTGCAAAGGCAACTCAGATGCTGGGATTTCATTGCTTTTTGAGAGCTTGGCTTTGCAAAATTAATTATCTTTTAACACGCAAAAGTGAATTTCCACACTGAAACCTACAAGGCTCATTAGGAAGGACTCTTAAGAATGAGAGTCTCAGAATACTAAGAAGGCTCTAGTGAATATACATACACATACATTTAGTAAACACTTCTTAGTATTCTGAGATTTTCACTGTTAAAGGTAACCTATAAAGAGACCGGACCTTTTCAGAGACCAGTTAGGTTGACTGTTACAGGGACAGGAAGAGACACAACCCTAATACAAAGGCCAATTCTCTGCCAAACTTCAAAGCAAGGAGAGATCAAATCTTCTCAAAGAGAAGGTCACCAACATTCTGTTTTGACACTGGGAAACAATATACTGTCCTCCTAATTATGTTGTCAAAAATGGCTGATATATTTTTAAAGAAGTTAAACTGTGCAGATGCTCAGAATGAGAAATTCTGGTCCCTGTCAAAATTTTGCAAAGAAAATAAGGTGTATAAACAAGCAGAAGCAAGGTGTACCAACTCTGATGGTTGGTAAGCTTCAAGGATTTTCTTCTTCTAATAGAAATTCCAGATTTGCTATCAAGTGAATTGTTTTCACCCACCTTGTTATACCAGGCAGATACAATTAGCTTTTCTTCATAATCACGCAGCTTGGCAAGTTTACAGTCAGCCTAGAAAAAGATTAAAACAGAGAAGGCCAGCTTAAGAGAAACATGCAGCTAACAGACAACTTTTTTTCCTTAAAGACCTGACCGAGAAAAATATACACAGTAAAACTCAGAAGCTGTAACTAGGTAGTTCCATGTACTGCGCAGCAGCTCTACACAGAGCAATGCCTGCTGCCATGCTGCCAGCAGCAATGGCATGACCAGCCACCTGTGCGGTGCCTATTTTTGTGCTCTCCTACCCCTCCTGAAGCTCCCCCCTTCAGTTGTGCTACTAGTAAAAATATGTAAAATTCTGTAGCAACTAAAGCAGAAGTTTTGGAAGTTTCTCAGGTTGCCACTATCTCAGTTGTTCATTACTCCAAGAGAAAGAATGACCCTTAACAAGACAGACTGGTACATATTTAAATGATAATCAATAAAAGAAAAACAGCTTTCTAGCACATATGATCACAAAGTCTGGTCTGTGCAAGTATTTGACTATACATCAGTGTATACAACAGCCAAAAAATAAGCAAGTATCCTCACTAATTTAATACTCTGCAGTTCTGACTTAACACAGTGCTACACCCAGCAATCTGAGCATCCAAGGATCTGAATCTGCAATTGTTGTTTACAAAAATCTACTTTAGCATTATATATATATATATATTTTTTTTGTAAACATTAACACTCTCTCTCTCTCTCTATATATATAAAACGCTAAAGTAGATAAACATTAATGATATATATAGATTTTTGTAAACATTAACAATTCCAGATTCAGATCCTTATGTGCTCAAAACTTTTCTTGGCTTCAGCATTGTGGTAAATCAGAATCTATCTATCTATCTATCTGTACTCTGTACTCTGTGTGTGTGTGTGTGTGTGTACATCCTTCTATCACTAGATAGTACTTTCACTACCATTGATATATGATTTAGCATGTTCAGTATTATGTTAATTCTGTAGTAATCCATCTAATCCATTGCATATAGACAATATTAGTTACAGTCTGAATGCCTAACATGTTTATACTGATCAGGGATTAG